TTAGGGTTGAATTCTCATTTTTTTAGTTTTATTTTCTATATATACGAATATTGTTGATGAATGTCAATCTAAATAGTCGATCGAGTCTAATATATTGTTATCGACATAGTAACTAGCTACAAGAGAATATGAAAATAAAGTCGTGAATTTGCTTCAAATAGTAGCTAGTCATGTTAGTTGTGACTGCTATTATACACACATTTGAGAAAATAAAATTATAATGGCAGAAGTGTCAAATAGGTTCATCTACTACTGCAAAGTGCTCAATTCTCAACACGACCTAAATTAAAGTCTAATCAACTACATTTACCAGCTAAATTTGTTCGATTGACTCTATTTTTTTTTTTCAGGTTGCTAACAGGTCGCCTATTCAATTATTAAAAATAAATAAAAATAAAGTTAAAAAAAAAAAAAAAAAAAAAGAACTTCAGCCGTCGGACAGCCTGACAGCCACAGCCCCAGATCTGGACCTCAAACGGCCTGGAATGAGGGCGGCTGCCATGGCCACCGCCCTCGTTCCAAACGGCCATGGCCGTCCCCAAACAGCCATGGCCGTCTAAAAAAATTGAATTTTTTTTTAGACGGCCATGACCATCCATAACGGCCATGGCCGCCGCTCTCGTTCCAGGCCGTTTGAGGTCCATATCTGGACCTCATGTTTGACAGTCAGCCAGACAGCCACGGCTGTCTATGAAATACGCCGTCACCGGCTCTCCTCGCTGGATAGCCGGTGGCTGAAATTCTTTTTTTTTTTTAATTTTATTTTTTAATAACCGAATAGGCAACATGTTAGCAACCTGCAAAAAAAATCAATCGAACAAATTTAGTTGATAAGTGTGACTGATTAGACTTTAATTTAGTTCGTGGTGGAAATTGAGATAGTAGATGAACCTATTTGATACTTCAACCAATTATAATTTTGCCATAACTGGAGCAGCTAGCAGGTATATATATGCAAAACAGAGTGCTATGCTAGTTGCGTATTTGCTATTATTTATGAAATTATATGGGTAATATAGTACGTATTATTAGATTGGTGGGCGTTCAACTTATAAAGTAAATCTCTTTGATATATTATTAGATTTTTTTATTAGAACATGTGGGAGAAGGGTAGCTGGCAGGAGGTTAGAAGGGCACCTCGGTTTGTTATTTCTGTTGTAACGACTTTTGCCGCTTGTTTCCATCGAGGTATATCTACCCCTCGCATGCTTTATGTACAGGTTGGCAAATCAGACTTCCAATAACATTTTTTCCAGTTCACAATCTGCTCCCTCTCTTCGCTAAGTCAAAACTTCGTCATGGTATCAGAGCCATGGCGTACCAGCTACGCCGCGGTGGTTACCGGCGCCGGAGAGGCGAGTCAGCCGGGAACTCAAGCACCGTCGATGAACCAGCCACCGATCCACACTGTTCCGCATGTAGTCTCGCAGAGAGGCCAAGTTGAAGATATCGAGAACCCCCTGCATCTCAGCGTCAACGAGAGTCCAAACAACATCCTTGTCAGTCCACCGCTCACAGGTAGTGCTAACTACGGCTCGTGGAGTATCGCCATGCAAGTCGCTCTAGAAGTGAAAAATAAGTGGTCGCTTGTTGATGGGAGCACAGAAGCACCAGACAGATCGCAGATCCATTATCCGGCGTGGAGGAGGTGTAATCTGATGGTCAAGTCCTAGATTCTGAAGGCAGTTCATCCCTCCATCGCTCAGAGCGTGTTATACATGGATGTCGCGAAGGATGTATGAGATGATCTACGCAGGAGGTTCTCCCAACGTGATGCGCACCGCATTTCCTCTCTGCAAACTGAGATCTATGGATT